TGTTGTATTCACGAAAACATTTGGAATTGGGCCGTTATCAACCAGGAGATCGGCAAACTTTGTCTATTTAATTAGGTACTAAAAACTCGTAAACGTTCATTTGCTTTTAACTTTAATCGTGAGATAAGTTGATCACAAAATCGGGAAAAAAGGTGGCCTACAATAATATTGGACCGTCTGGCGTGGCCTCTACACCCTCAACATTTCAAAATAACATGATTATATAGACCAAACGGCTTTTTGGACCACCTTTTTTCTCGACTTTCTGCCCAAATTATATTACGATTCAGGTGGTAAGCAAATGAGTATTTACGAGTTTTTAGTTCCTAATTAAATAGACAAAGTTTGTCGATATCCAGAATGAATAAAATTTAAATGATGAAGCTATTCATGAAGTTTCAGACGGATGATAATAATTTGATAAAAAGGGATCTGTACCATGAAGTTTTGTTAAAACTTTTTTTAAACTTGTGCTAATTTCCCATACACGCAGTGATTTTATAATAGATTCATCAAGACTTTTGATTGTTCAGTACTTTTTGAAATGAAATTTTCGGAAAATATTGAACATAATGAGTAAAAAATCCAATGAAGTTCTATGTGAGTAATTTTATAAAAAAAAATCATACAAAACAGTTGTTCACGTTGTTGGTTTATATAATTTTATAATTAACAATTATGGTTTAGTGCACTAGATATACTTTATTCAAAATGCAAGTATGTTTATGTGTACTAAAATAGCGCTATGTAATATTTTCTTGCCTGCTTAAATAATTAAAGATCTATTTAAATAAAATAAGACTTTTTTAAACGCCAATGCTAGAAGCGATTGCCTTGGAGCATTTCGCCCAGTTTACTCGAAAGGTAGCTATTTCGGTTCACTGCGAGTATTTTCGGTGAATCGTTAAACCTTAAATCTGACCATTTTAGGTTTCGTTAGACTTTCTCTTTTTAATCGTCGTTTTTATGCCAGAAAATATTTTTTAGATTACTATTGGGTTACTAAATGATTATATATACATTTTTATTATTTATTGTTGTTCTGTTTTCTCCTTCATTACTATATTTAGATTAGGTACATTTATATAAAAAGTTCGTGGAAAAATTTAATTTAAATAGTGAGAACACATTAATTTTTTTTTTAATGTGCTACATTATTATTATTATTATTATTATATCTAGAGCTAAAAATAGTCTATACATTATTAAGTACAATGTTTCCGTCTTTTTTTTTTTGTTGCTTATTTGAGGGACTTTTTAACTATCTCGTTTCGAAGTATTGAATGTTTTCTTTTAAATTAATGTTGGTATGTTATATGATGTAAACAACAGGGTGGCGACCGAATTGGAAAAGTCAGGGAATTTTAAAAACAGAAACAGAAAAACATTCATACTTAATTTACATTATTTACAATCAGCCAAGGGAGCTCCGAGTCCAGCCCTTTCCTCCACGTGTGAAGGACAAAGCGAGACTCTAAGAGATCCCAGCGCTTCTCTCTCAGCCGCGTCACCGGCAGGAAAAAATAAATTACTAAAAGTTTAGTTTTCTAAAATAAAAAATCCTAACCAGGTTTAAAAATGCTTCCTCTAAAACACTATATTTGCTTATAACTGTATATTACTATATATTTATTATTTAAAAGATATAGTATATATAAGGTGATTTTTTTTTTTTTTACTCACGTCATTTTGTTGTCAATTTTCTTTCATGTATAATAAATAAATTTATTTATAAATTATAATTTTTTAATGTTGATGTCCCCAGACATCATTGGTCGGAGAAAACTATCTTAAATATGGAAAATTCAGTTAATTTTGGTAGCTACCCTGAAAAAAATAATCAAAAGAAAAAAATATAAAACAACTGGTTCTAAGTTGTATTACCTTTTAAAGCAGTGAATTGTTTTTGGTTGTGGGATTGTGAGAAGAGATTGACCTAGAATTCTGATAGATCTCCATCTTAATAAATTCGCAATTAATATGTATATATGTCAGTATTTTTTCTTTATTTTTGTTTCTTTTCCATGTTTGGAACTGTCAAAGATTCAATTACTCACATCTATGTTTTTACTGTTTCTGTGTTTAAATAGAAATTTAATTTATATGTAATAGTCTTATATACCAAATTATCTGTATTATGTACGAATTTATTTTTAATTTAATGGTGATTTTACGGGGGGGGAGGAGGGAGAATGGGACTTAATGACTGAAGCCGTTCACCAAAATGTGTGTATATATATATATATATATATATATATATATATATATATATATATATATATATATATATATATATTTTTTTTTTTTTTTTTTTTTTTTTTTTTTCATTGGTCTATATTTCTTTTGGTATTTTATCTAGGCGAATTACTTCATCAATCATGATATACTTTCTTTTTTTAATTATGATGTATAAACAGCTACTAAACGCGAAGACGTGTCAAGAAAGGATTTCTTTGTTTGTTTGGATGTCTAGGCGCAAAACATCCAAGTCATCAGCGCACGATCAACTAACACTACTTTTATACTGCTCAGGTGGTTGGTACAGAAAAATAAAATAAATAAATCATGATAATAATAATAATAGACACTGAGTAAAATAAAAGAAAATCAATAAATAAATTCAAATTAATAAATCAATGAACTTTTAAAAAATAAATCTGCAAAGGATCATTAGTTATAAACTTGTTACATATGTTTTATAATGTTTTCATTGTTTAGGAACTTCATAACTTTGGCGAGGTTTGCCTATGCCTTTAAGTTTAATTTCTTCTTGGTTTTCCAGAGGTGCTGATATATTCTGGATTAATCTGCATGGCCTTGTAAAAGATGTAGAAAATGTATCCGTAAAAGCATTAATGTTCCTGTAATTAACGTCTTTTTTTTTTCCCCTTAAAGGATCACTTTTACATCATTTTATCATATATTTTTCTATTTCCATGTGAAAAGGTCACTGAAAATTTCTTTTAAACTGTACATTTTTTTTTTATTCGGTTCAGGACTATCCCATAAAAAATTTATCCCTTCTAAATAAATGATAAATTTAAATAAATAATATTCAAGCGTATTTTGTTTTTGGCAGTTGTGCGTTTGACCTCAGAACCTTATTTGTGTCGGATCCCCTCATCCGTAGTAGCCCCGTGGCGGGAACGAATGACCTGCCCGAAATAGCTCGGAAGGCTGTTTATTAATAATGGGACTCGTGTGTGTTCGTCGTAGAAGTCGGGAAATCTTTTGTGTCGTCGGTCCCGGTACGCAAAAGGGAAAATCAGTTTTCTATTGAGTCGTTTTGTTTACTATTTATTTGTCTTATACGTCATAGCGGTTTCTCTATTTATAAGATGAGATGCTTATAGGAAAAGCAAAAGTAAACAATCCTCTATCCTATTTATAAACTAGAGGCATTTATATAAAATAAACTTGTATAAGTACCTGCGTTATTAATTAGTACCTACTTATTTATTGTCTGTATTATTATTTATTTAAGTATCTGAAAAATTAATGCAGATTTTGTCTATAAAGCGGCGATACTCTCTTTTAGTTATTTCTACGGTTGTTATGAATGAGAAAACTGTTTTCAATAGCTAGTTCAATTCTTATTTTTTCTTCCCTTTGTCTGAAAATTCTCCTTAAAGAAGGGTGGCAAGTGAAAGCTGTGTGATGCGCGCACTGCATTAGATTTTTCTGTTCTTAAGGTAGTCACGTTTTCTCTTGCATAAGAAGCGATAACATGAAACTATTTTTTTTTTATTAACTTTATTTTTTCACTCACACCTGTCAGAAGTTCCGACAACCAGCGAGTGTATATGGATGTGGATGTGTATATGGATTGGAGTAGGTCTTGTAATAGGCTTGAAGTAGAGGAGTGCTCAGCGGCATCCTTCCTGTCTTGATTTTAATATTTGTAGTTATTTGTAGGAGATCCCTCATCCAGCTTCTTTTGAGCCTTCTACGGGAGCTATCGGGCATGTTAGTTGTGGCCATCCATGCCTTGGATCAATGAGTTGGTATATTCGTGTTAATTATTGTGAAATCTTTTGCAGTATGTTAGTATGTGGCCGTTAACTGTTGGCATCTGTAAGTCTTTATGTAGAGTAATGTTACTAACCTCCCATGGAGCCTTGGTGATAGCCCTGAATGTTTTAGATTGAAAAGTCTGTAATTTACGTATGTGAGTCTTTGGCTGACCCGTATATCTGTGAAACGAATATCCAAATGGGCTTAAGATGATAAGTATATGTGTTAAAATTTGTGTGAGTTTTAATTTCGAATATCTTGAAAGGAGTGACTATGATAGCCGTAGTCTTATGTTTAGAGTATTTGTTTTGTTATTGAAAGTTTAAGATATTGAACTTTGTTTGAGGAATTTGTACATTGTCAAGGTAAATAGCAGAGGAAGTCTCACGTAGAAGGGTAAAACTGATATGTAGAGTTTGCACCATTCGTGAACTTTGTTTAGGTGGCATTGTAGAGTCTGTGAGGCGTATATTGAATTTTGATGTCTTGTAAAGATTGTTGTATCGTTTGCTTACGTTACGGTTAGAGTATCGACACTCTGGAATAATGTATGTGAAAATGATATATAAAAGCGGAGCGAGTACTGACCCCTGAGGCACTCCTGCTTGGTTTGATACTAAAAATTTCTGTGTCTTGGCAGCCAACGAAAAATCTGTCACAATGAAATGATTGAAGAATATAATAGTAGGTTGGAAGGAGTATTGTCTTAAGTTTGAAAAGAAGTCCCTGTTGCATATAATTTGTGCTCTAGTGCTGCATACAAAATTGGACTTATCTACTTAATCGTTCGAATTTGGCACATACATCAAATAATTTTTTTGTTGGGAAATTTGTCTAATATCTTTTCTCAAGGTTTGACCATTAAAAACTGAGACACCCTTTATATCTATCCATCTATAATTTTATACTAATTAATCTCTGTGAAGACTACTTCAACACTTACTAGACAAACGCTCCAACCTTTATATTACAAAAGACTCATAAACATATCTATAATAAAATCTATTTGGACTTACGGAGTCGAGCTTTTTGGCTCCACTAAACCATCGAATTCCTCTCGTATCCAATCTTTTTACAATCCAAAATCCTTCGTAAAATCCTTATTGCTCCTTACTTTGTAACAAATAAAATAATCCGTAATGACCTGAATGTTCCATATGTTAATAACTTAGCCCAATTCAGATTCCTGTCCTTCCACAATAAACATCAGAACAATCCTAATCCCCTCGTTTCTAACCTTGCTTCCTCATCGATCCCTGATAACCCTCCTAGGAGTCTGAAAAGGAGATGGCCTCGTGATCTCCTAATTTAGAAACTTTATTAGAGTACTACCAATGGGTAGAATCTCTACATTTGCTGAATGTATATTAAATGTACAGTTGTAAATTTCATAAATAAAAAAAATAGTGGTTAAATAGTTGACTGTCGCAAATAATGGAGAGAAGAATAGTTGGGATGATCAGTCTTTATTTTTATTTCTTATTCTCTTTCTTATTTCAGCCTTCTCAGTTTTCTTCCTCCTTCCTTTCATCCCTCTAATCTGTTTTAACTTTGGATTATATTATAGGTTGTCTATACAGCTTGATAGACTTAACAACATCTCAATTTTCTATCTAACTATTCACAATATCTTAATTTTACTGTTTATTTCCATTACTTATACAACTTCATATTTTTCTGTTTTTACATTTTATTCTATGATTCCCATTTTAATAATTATGTCAATTTTTTTCATTACGTTTACTTTATCATTCCACACTTTGTACCGCTTATTATCATTTATCTCTTTGTTCTTACTGTTGTCATTGTTCTAACAACTGAATTTTACTTTAATTTTTTTACCTACACTACCTATGTTTCTCATACCTTGTTATCTGGTTCTTTTCTTAGCCCTGATGATGACCTGAACTTCAGGTCGAAACGTCGGCTAATGTCAAAATAAATATCATTTATTTTTGCCTTCTTATTTGACTGATCACCCCTACTATTCTTCTCTCCAATAAATAAAAAAATTTAAAAAAAATCTCTGTGACGCTTCTTGCTAGTTAATATATTGACCTCGGTGCATCGCGAGGCCTCTGAGATAAAACATTAGCATTACTGAAGCAGATTTGCAGGGGTCTTGATAACGGATCGCGATAATGCCTGATAAGAGCCGCTACTCCCGTGAGATTCGTGGACTGCGCTCTGAGATAAGAATGTTCGTGCTAAGCGCAACTGAATCCAGAGAGGGCAAGTGGTGGTCTCGTTACGACATATGACGTTACTCAAGGATGGGAATTAGTGGTTAGTTATGTGTACTGTTGTAATAAATAATATTATTTACACCAATGACTTATTTATTATTAATCGTATTAAAAGTATTTAAAAAGTATCATAAATTGCTATTAATTTAGTTTAGGAGAACGAAGGGAGTGGGGTAGCTCAGTGGCAGGGCACTCAGCTTCCAATGCTAAAGGTCCCAGGTTCGAATACCGGCTCATGGCAGAAAATTTATTTATCTGTTTCATTGGCCGTGGGGCGACCCCAGGTCGGGGATCCTCCTGGTTCACACCCAACCTCTATAAAGTGGGTACCCTTAATTAAATAATTGATTAAGGGGGGAAAACCTGGCGGTTGAGCGTGATCTCGGTCAAATCACCTCCCTGCACAACTGTTGACCTAAAAACAGTGCTTTCCCTAAATAGTACTGAACCACAGAACCTTCATGGGTTGTAGTGGTACACGTTTAGGAGAAGAATTGAATCGCGGTGGAACTATAACAAAAAGTTTGGTAAACAAACAAAATTTCGTGTTGAATAATCGTTGAATAATTCCCTATAATTCTCTCCGCCCTCTCCCTAAGACCGGGAAAAACCCATGTAGGCTAAAAGGCAAGGAAAAAAAAACTGTGAAATTAAATTTAAATTTCTGGAAAAATCCTCATATAAATTTAAATATTATAAATCAAATTATTTGGTATAATAAAAACGCTGATAGATATTCCAAAAATGATAAAGTACTAACCTCGTTTTTAGAATAAAAGTTACTCATCTTTATGGACAATGAATTAAGTGATGGACAGGGTGGACCTTAAATGTATATAATAAGCTTCCTTGTTGATTTAAAGGTTCCCATTTTTTTCTATATTGAAGAGCTAAGTTCCCAAAATAAAATGCCGATCATTGTTTCTATAGTTCTCTTGAGATCAATTTGTTTCATACCTTGCTACTAACAGTTTTGCAAAGAGTAGGTTGAACATTTATATTATCTTCATAATTAAATAAATATTTTAGAATTTTTCTGATGTATGCCCATTACTGTTACCGACCCCCTGTCCATTACTAGAACAATTGAATTTCGAGGTGTCCATCACTATTGCAAAAAGGTGTTTTTACAAGTATTTAAATTGAGATTATACCTGCATAGCTGAATATATTTTCAATTTTAAAGTCTTAAATAAAAAAAAGGAGACTCCAGAGATTCTAAATGTCCAACGGAGGAGTTTATAACTATAATAATTACGGCTGCATAAGCCAAAAAAAAAAAAATTACTTAGATATATCCACCACTGGCGCTCTTACCCAACTAGGTGGATATTAAAATACAATAATATCAACATTTAAGTAGAGTTTTGAAACATGGTAAATTTTCTGATGGATTTTGAAAAGATAGATATTATCAAAATAATTTTTAGAGATAAAAAACATACAAAACACAACCATCGGATTTGGAGATCGGTTTACTTTTGAAAATATACGATTAAATAAGTAATCATTTTAATCGTTACTGCTAATAATAAATAACAGTTAATAATTAAATAGGAACAGTTTTTATGTTAGAAAGTACCTATTTCTCATATTATGTGTTTATGTTCATTATAGAGAAATGGAACTTATTCCTAAGAAATAAATAGCTTTAATATGAGAGGGGAAGAGAACATTAAGCGTAGTTAATTGTAAATAACTCCGATTAGAAAGTTTAGTACTTTATATATATATATATATATATATATATATATATATATATATATATTCTTTTTCACTTTAATGGCTTTATACTGATAAAATTCTCGAAATTGGGGCGTTTTCAATCTGAAAATCGACAAACTTTGTCTATTTAATTAAGTACTTACAATTCTATACTCGTTTGCTTTCCACTTTTCCTTTGACTCTTAAGTTGACTCCAATATGCTTTGTATTTTGATTTGGAGGGTAAGAAAAAAGAAAAAAAAAAAAATGGTATTTTGACCCTGTGCTTTATTTAAATAACTGTAAACTACTTTTATGGCAGCTTTACATATTTATTTACACTTGGTTCAACGATTTCGGTTCTATTAAGTCAGCATAGATAACTAATTTCAAAATAAATATATGAAACAATTTTTTTCATTTATTTTGTTGTAGCAAAACAGAAAAATGTAAGCATATCCGTATGAGCCAGTTTTCGGGTCCCTTAACTTCCTAGTTTTCAGTATTCCTTACGAAATTTTCAAAAACCTAAAGAATCTAGCAGCCTAAACATGTTCTTCTTATTCGATTTTTTCGCCCTGTAAAACTAAATAAATACTGGAAGGTGCTAGAATAAGGAGAAATTCCCATTTCGAATAAGCTCCTTTCGCCAGTTCTGACAGGTAAAGACCCCTTTTTATGACATTATTAACATCAGCCTCAAACTTCGTAAATAGCTTCATCTCATCATAACCTACAAAAATTCTATTTACTAAAATCCTCGGGACGCTGTGAAGCTGCTAAAAAATTAGCTCATTGCAAAGAAATTTGCAGATCGGCAATTTAATTTTTTATGTCCAATGTTTATGTATTATTAAATGTTTAACGTTTAATTTAAATAGACAAAGTTTGCCGATTCCTCAAATTCAAGAGTTTTCGTAAATAAAATAGTTATAGATGAGATGAAGCTATTTACGAAGTTTCAGGCGGATGTTAATAATTTGATAAAAAGGGATCTGTACTACGGTCTACATACCCAACGTTTATTATCCCCAGCTCCATCCCCAAATATATTATTACAGTTATGCTCGAAATCTGTTTTGTACCAAATAGAAGCTCCTGTCATGCTCAAATACCATGAATGGGATACCGTTGGATTCAGAATTTCATAGGGGATTAGTGAATCGTATTCTCCAGTTTTGTTTTTCTTTCTAAAATAAATAAACTCGATAATGGACAAATTGGATCTTGAAGATTTTGATGCGTACTTTTTTAAGCCCAATAACGTACTATTTTCGAGATAACGCAAGGCATAGGATTCGAATCCAGACAAACTTACGTTAATTGTAGTACTGCCATTGAATACATATCTCATTTCTTCGACTTGAGGCCTCTATCATCGAGAGAGGAGCAGTTTATATTATTTATCGATGGTGGTTTTGATCGCCAAGCTATGTCATCTTTAATTCTTCACCAAATCTCAAGATTGAGCCACCAATTTCGAAGGCTTCCTTCTCCTTCAGGCGGGCAAAATAGTCCAATCAGCCCGAAAATTCAGACAAACAAGTCATGAAAGAAAACAGACTTTATTTGCGAATAACTAAAAAATTACACACTTTTCCCTTTTTGATTATATAAAAGCTTACTAAATTCCTTACACAACCAAAAAAATCATCGAAATCGGACAATCGGACAGGTTACTGAAATTTTTTAACATGTTGGTTCCAAACAAAAATGAAGATTTAAATTAATTTTTGTTTCAATTATATTTATCGATAAAGTAACATTTGATGTATTTATCTTTTGATACGTTGCATTTTTTTATTTTCTTATTAATTTGGCATTTGATAACTATACGCTGTGCGAATTTTTCGCACGGGCCTACTAGTTCTTTAATAATTCTAGTAGGCGCCAAAAACTGAGTAAGGCGGCAATGAGGGTTTTACCCTAGTATTTATTAATCATATTGTAATAATTATAATATATAGTTATTATATAATATATTATTATTATTAATATATATTTTTTGTGGTTACAGTTTGAGCGAGTGCTATTTCGCGGGTAAGGGGGCGGCGGTGGTGCTGCCTCCGCACGAGCGGCTGCTGCCGTCCCCGAGCTGGCCCGCCCCCGCAGCCACCGGCTCCGACATCCAGGCCCACCTCCAGTCCATGTTCTACCTCCTCAGGCCGGAGGAGACCCTTAAGATGGTAAGGATAATATTACATTATATTATATCATTATTATTTATTTTAATAATCTTTAAATTAAAAAAAAAATTATATATATATATATACCAATCATAGTAATTCAGAAAGCAACAGCCCAAGGTAGATCTTACAGGAGAAAACAAGACAGCGAAAATGTTACTTGCCTTTAAGCAGTTATGCGGGATGGTATACCCTTCGCGCCTGTCGTTAGGCCTGTTAAACTGATGGCATATTTTGTCTTGATAATTTGTTTTTATCCTTTAAAATCATATCGCTAATATATAACACCAGAAATAATTACTTTTTCCTGTGGGTAGGAATATCAGGAAATGAAATGGCAGACAAAACGGCAAATCAAAACCAACTACATAGAATAAATGTCAAGGTCTCTTTACTGGATTTGATTAGAGTAGTGAGGGGGGAAATCATGAAAGACTGGCAGCATTTCTACGACTGGGAATGTGCCTCGAAGGGTAAGGACCATCATGCAGTTCAACAGAAGATAGCACTGGTTCCATGGTTTGCGACTCTTACATCGCATCTCGACCGCTCCAGCTTAGTAAAGCTGACCAGGCTTAGGATAAATCGCGTTAGAACTAATAAATATTTACATCTAATGGGTATAGTTAAGAGCGGTCACTGTCCAATATGTCAATGCTTGGAGGATCCAAGACACGTTGAATTCAAGTGCAAAAGATTCGAGAAGCGAAGAAGAATTAGTTTAGGATCGCAAACTACGGATGATGGAGCTAAGTTTCTTCAGTCGATGAATAAAGATAACACTCGTGACTTGATTAAGTTTTTGAATGACATCAAAGTCGCCTCTTATTCTCATTTAATTATAATTCTAATTCACCTCAGTTTTTAACTATTAGTCATTCTAGTTTCTATAGTGCCCAATAATATTTAATATCCAAGTTTCATATAAGTTACATTCAGTGATCATCTAACTATAAATAATTAATAAATATCCAGTGTAATTTCATCTTACTATGACAATTAAATTGTTTTATTTAAAGGCGTAAGAATTCATGAGTCATCAACGCTATTATTTATAACATATTATATTACCTCTATATAGAACTGAATCCAGGAGGGGTTCTAAAAAGAATTAAACATTTTAAATATCTTGGTTCCATAATTGAAACAGCTGGTACTTGTCATGTGGAAATAAAAAGAAAAATTTCAGATGGCAAAAAGACCATATCAATGCTCAACTCTCAGCTCAACATCTACAATAGTATAGTTTTATTTATATATTTTAATTTTTCTCTTCCCTATTTTTTTTTAATCTATTGTATACGTCATATTTTTTATATCGTATTTTTTTATTTAATGAATTTGAGGGCTAATTCCTAAGTTTCATTGCCATTTTTAAGTATTGTTGGTCATTCGAGTTTTTATCTAAGAATATTGAGGTGTAAGGTAAAATATGGGCTTCCCTTAAAAAATATGGCTTATTGTCAGAATATTGATTGACGTTTCGGTGGCGATTCCTTTTAAGATTAGGTAGAGGTAGGGTTGTTGTAATATTAGGTAATTTGCGATTACTTATCGATATCAATATTAGTTTATTATCGAATCAATGTCGAATGATATTGAAATCAATATGAAATGGTTGAGATAATTAACAAGTATCTCGCGGCATCTATTTATATTTATTTCAATCTATTTTTATTTTTTTTAACTCCAAAAACTAGATAAACTGTTTTATTTATACCTTGTGGAGTTTCCGATCATATTTTCAGTAGGCATAATATATTTTTTTTTTACTGTTTTTATTGAATAGTTCAATAGAAAAAATAGATTTAGCCGATGTCGCGGGTTTTCCTTTACTCGTCCCACTGTGCGACAGTGTAACAGCGAAAATTTCCTTGTTTACACGCTGATAATAAACCTTCATGAAATTAGCAAAATGTTATATTTAACTCTATCATTTACTTAAAAAACTTCTTCACCTCTTCCTATTCTTAGTCTCTTCCTTTCCAGTTAGCTTTGTGCTACTCTGAATTATCTTTGTTGATTCTATCTATAAATTCGCTTTCTGGCCTTCCACGCATTCTTTTATCATTTATTGGGACATTCTTTGTTGTTCAGTGGCTTTCTGATTGATTCTTTCGAGCTTAAAATATAGAAATAAGTATAAGTAAAATTGAAAAATCTTTAAAAGTCGGTGTATATGGGGGGTGTATCTTTTAAAAAAATATGGGTATATGAATTTTTATAAATCAAAAGAAAATTTACCATTAACTTATTCACCTAAATTATTTTTAAAAATGTTTTTCATGACAAAGAGATCCTATCTCCAAATTTGACTCACATTTTGGAATTATTAATTCTATTTATTTATAAGGTATTTTAAAATATTTAATTATTTAGTGTTATATTTTAGTAAAAATCATTTTAACATATGTTTGTAGTTAATAGACATTATTGTACCAGTAGCTCTTGATAAGGTTTAGTCATGCTACCGTGCCTCGGCGCCATTGCCCTATTAAGACCAATTCATTCTCATCCTGCATCTTGAATTTTTAAAGAATTTAATTAAATTATCCAGTTTATTTTAAGTTTTAGAACCTTTGAGTAGTGGATAAGTTCTTATTTTAATATATTAGCACAGAAAACACAGACAAAATAAAACAAATAGGATCATTATTATTCATCCATAACAATAATTTTCAGAAAAGGAATTAAATATGGGAAGATTTCATTCTTGAAATAAGGTTTTAAAAAAATCTGTTGGAATCTTATAAATTAATACTGAATTTTTAAAATTAATTTTTATTTTTAAATAACTGTTAAAAAATATTGTGATTTTCTTGTGTCATCTCGTGAAATCGGCCATTAAAACTATTGACTCTATTGTCATGGAAATAGTCTCATTAAATTCAGAAGAAAAAAAAACTGTAGTAATCGATAGCTCACTCGATTTACTTTGAGCAAATGTCCCCTTCATTGGAACCCTTCAGGAAGGGATGGTTTTCCGACAGAAATCCGAGTGGGCTCTCTATAATGGAAGATCTCGATTTCTACTACCTACACAGGAAAATAATTTTAAAAAACTCATATGTTCAGAAGGAAAACTGTCGCCCGTCAATGATAAATTCGAAAATGTTTAGAAGTCAATGATGGTATTTTCGAACGTATATTAAATTAAAATAAGACATCAATTACCGAAATGCTAATCCATAGTGAAAATATTGTTTTTATCAAATGTTATTGAAAAAAACTTTAAATTTTATTGATATATAATAATAAATTAATACAATATTGATTGACATTTCGGTGGCGATTCCTTTAGGATTAGTAATAACAGAAGTTTTCCTTCTCTATTTCGGCACGAAAGGCCTGATGGTAAAGAAATGTATATTAAAACACTCCTGAATTTGATTGCGACATTATTTCAAACATATCGGAGACGAGCTTGGCGGTTTTGAACAAATTAAAATTTACATTTTTATTTATATGCACTGTTCTCAGATTTTTTTATTGATAATGCTAGAGCTCGTCATTAGCTAGTAAACAAAAAAAGTATGTGTGTATGTTTGTGTGCACATGTTTTTCCCATTGGATGATTATTTTTTTTTTATCTGGATGCAGCTCTGCGACATATCCTTCTACTATAAAGCTTTTTGAAGAAAAGATTTTTAACTAGTGTGTTCACCTGCACACGAACACACACACAAACCGCTTTCTTGGACTCGATTATTTGGACTCAGTGGACCTAAAACGTATATTTTCTTTGAAACTCAAATTCTAATTTTTCGTAAACTTTCCTCTTCTACATATTGCATATGTAGATTATTGAAAGTAAAAATATATATAAAGGAAGGAGATAGTCCAGAGTGGCGGTCATAAATAGACTAAATAGTGGTAAAACTGTTTTATTAAAAGCCAACGTTTCGACCCGACTTTGCCGATCTTCTTCAGGGCAAGAACGGACAAGATGCAATAAGATAGAGAATTGTGGAAGTTACATAATATTTAGACAAAAAAATTTATAAACAATGTGAATAAGCTTATTAAAATTATAAACAGTATGTACATTAAAATATGAACAGAGTAAGCTAAGAAACCAGATCCCAATCTGAAGTAAATAGATGCTAACAATTGTTGTAGTGTAATATATAATAAATGCAACTGTGAATATACTTCTACAAATCTACAGGAGAGATTGAATGGAAAGGAAAAAGGATATAATATGAAATAATAGACATAAAGGAATATGGAGAAAGAAAAGAAAAAAAAATTAAGTAAATAAAATTAGAAACTTACAGGTGTGTTCAGCTAGGAGTTTCACTTAGAACTGGAAAACCAGGATAAGGGCAGGTATTGGGAAAGCTGATTTGTTTAGGTAATGGGGAAAAACATAGAAAATTACACTATCTAAAATTTGAAGATATGGATGGATACAACGGAAACGTTGGCTTTTAATACAATAGTATTGCCACTATTTAGCCTATTTATGTCCGCCGCCCCGGACCATCTCCTTCCTTTATAATGCAACGGTCAACTATTAAATATTTTTCAAAATATATATAGTAAAATGAAAGTATGAAATGAATACTATTATTAATTTAATAGGCGATATGCAAATTACATAGAACCGATATATAAATAGGTTATACCACCCAAGGAGTAGGATTAACAGTTGCAGAAGGTTCCCCCTCACCGCACTCTAATGACGGACTTGCGAATTATAATCAGAGATCGTACGAGCGTAACCCGAGAAGCCTGGGGCGGGCCGTGGGAGCTGGGGGTCTCGTCACCTCCTTCTTCTCACAGGGGATCCTTTCCTGTCTGTTGTGAAACAGTTCGCGAACCGGTCCCTCTTGGGTTCGATACTCAGAATCGATTCCCTCTGACCAGTCCTGCAATCGACCTTTCCTTAGGGTTACGTAACACAAGTTTACTATGAAACTATTCTTCTAGTTCACCTTTGATTTTACTTGGATGGATCTTCCAAATAGTGAAATCGGTCATTATGTATCTATTTACTGTGAAAATTATGTATCAGGATATCTTAATATGTGATGGCTTTTCTTAAGGAAAATTATATAAAGAAAACCAGAAACAATCACTTGTTTTGAGGATCTTAAACCATAGAATAGCACAGGAATTATTCCACACGTTTCGAATCAAACATATATTTACAGCCGATATGTGTCATACATTTTTATATCCACACCTCTCAATTGCAACTATCGACAATCAGCAGATGTGCTGGCACAGTCACGAGAAAAAAAAAAAATAATAAAATAAAAATAAATAAACTGTCTTGATAGGCATGAGGAAAAGCAATGCCCAGCGGCATCATTTCCATGGCTTTTACTTACTTACATACAATTACGTAAGTAGGTCCCTCATCCAGACCCTTTTCAGTCGTCTTCTGGAGTTCTCAGCCATATTAGTACCGGCCATTTCTTTAATTGGCTGGTTGGAGTGTCCATGTAATTTATTATGAAATCGTTTGTGGTAAGTTCGTATGTGTTCATTGATCGTTGGCATGTGTAAGTACTGAAGATACTGAATATATTCTTTAATATTGATTAATGTAATTTTTGGTCAGATGTATTTTATTTTTTTGTTCATAACTGTTATTCATAAGGGAACTCGTCCCAGAATATAGTTTATTTTCTATATATTAAATATATATATATATATATATATGTATAATATGTAAATAAATAAACAAAAAAATATAGATATATTCTATATATATATATCGATATATATATATATATTTTTTTTTTTATTTACAGTTAGGTACCTACATATTACATTATATATATATATAATCACTTTTCATATATGTATTTATATTTATATATTTATGACTTGTAGCTATTGCGTGTACAAGTATCCTTTAAGTACGTATCCTTGCCAGAGGCAATTTTCCCTAGTTGCTCCGGTGACCTCTCTCTTGGACAACCATATAAGGCCTCTGTCCCATCCAACTCGCTCGGGGTACCTTCTCTTCCAATCCCAGCTCTCCTTTTCCTATCAGCTATCTACTATCGCTTATATACAGATAACAATCCTCTGTCTGATAATACCCGAGTGTATACAGCGTACTACAACTGTCTTCTTGACCTAACTATAACTGTCCTGTAAACTTCATGTATTTATCGTCCTAGACAAACAATACTCACCATTATCCGCTATTGTTCGCGCTCAAATGAATCACCACCCCCTGGAGACAGCTCTCACTCCACGGGTCATGGGCACCGGGTCTTGTCTGGAGAAAGTCGGCGACAATGGAAAATTCATCAAGAAAGTTAGGGCGATTTTTTTTTTTAACCTAGATGTTGGAAAATCTTTCAAATTAATGAAAAAGAAGTCTTTAGCCGTGAAATTTTCAACGTTAGTTATCAAAGATTGAAGTAATAAAAATACCAAGGTGTGTCCTTTAGTCCTCGCGATAGAAGTGAAAACATCAAGAAGTTGAGATTAACAATATGAAATAAAAGTTATCAATAATAGCTCATTATAAAGTGGATGAAATAATGAACATTTACTTCCCTCACTTATGCAGGTCTGATTTTTAATCTATGATATATTATAATCCATATCTTTAATAAAACTCATTATAATATGGTTGTCGACACTATTTTTTTCCTTTTCGCCCATCTTTCACAGCGTCGCGTTTAGATACAATTTTGAATAATAGCTCATTACAGAGAGGATGGAATATTGAATTCCAAAATGTTGAAATTCCCTCGCTAGTAGTATGCAGTTCTGATTTTAAGTTAGTGTCATATTTTAATCCATTTCTAAAAACATTTGAATTAGTCTACTCTTGCCGACTTTATCCGAGCGTTAACACTTCGGAAATCTGACGGATCAATCAAATGTTCTCTTTACATCCCAGATATCTCTGAGAATCCTTGCATCACTATCTTAAAGCAAAGAGAACAAATGTCCTGGGCAGCAGAATTTGGAGGGCAGCAAATTTTTATTTTTACGTCAATTGAAAAAAAAAAAAAAAACTACAAATTATTTCACAATGGTTTAATGTTTCCAAACAATTATACATCTAAAGTAACTTTACCTTCCTAGTAACATAGAAAAAGAAATAAAAGGTGAGTCCTATTATTGTCCTAAACAATTTGTTTTTCATCATTAGTAATTTGCTTTAAAAAAATATCTTTACTTCAGTAACACTTTCAAAAATTAAAAAAATAAAAACAAAGGATACAATCTTTGCAATAGAACATACAAACAAATATCTAGACACCATATCTTTGCTCCAAATTATCCGATTTTAACGATTTTGTTTTTTAAAGAAATTGAGTAAACTTTTAAACAACCATAATACAGTATCAACAAAAAAGTGTTTACTTTATTAATTATTCTGAAATCTAATGTTACCACTCACTTTCTTTGAAATGTGTTATGGAGATAAATTTAAAGAGCGTCGAGAAGAAGACTTCAGCCAAGTTTCATTGTTAAGTTCAAGTCGGTTCATTCGTTAAGGCGCTACAATCTATAGTAACGTAGATTTTTCGGCCTGCATCTTGAAAGGAAAGGGCGGATAGTAATGTCGATGTAGGAGGATCATTCTCGGGTGACCTCTGGCTTTAAATCCCAATTTGAAAAAAATCCAGTAGTCTCGGAGAAAATGCGGACGGCGGAGGACAAAAATTTTTTATTAGAGGGAGGGTTACGTTTTTGAATTTTTTGGACGATTACAATGGTTCATTATTGAAAATAATAAACCAAAACCTGCTTTTTAATTAAACTTTATTTTCCTTTTAATTTTATTTGATTTTTAATTGTTTTGATGTTAATTCAGTCAATAAGATAACTTAATGTGACAAAGCGAAGATATAAAAGGTTCAAGTTCCTAAACTTAGTGCTAATTCCATCGGTAGAATTCATCAATCGAGCACCGATGGATAGCGAGTTTAGGAAACTCATTAAATTAAAGAAAATTTAAAGAAATATCTACTTATTGAATAATGAAATTTCAAAACAGAAAGTAAACTGACAATAAATATGTAACCCTCTTTTTTTAGCCTTGCCGTACTATCAAGGCAGCAAATGTCGCACTATCGTAAAGATTAGACGATTGTAGTATTTGCTACTGTTGCTGCCATGAATATAACTGTCGTTGAGGAAACGAGGCTGTTATTTAATGTTGTTACTACAGAATAACTTTTTCAAGTTAATTAAAGAAATATATTTATAATGTATCAGATAATATAATGTTGTTGTAGCCAGTAATAGGACCCTTTTATTGTAGTAATCACATGGGAAAAGCTACTGGCGTAATTATCTGGCAGCAACCGATCTCTTTGTTGCGTTTATTTTTACAACGCCTATAACTCGTAATTGCACGCAACTCTTGCTGATAATATACGAGCCAGCTGTAATGTAAGTGGACCACTCGTTCACAAATAACGAGAAATGGCGAGAGTCCAGTTCAACTACTTACTTTATTTATTTATTTATTTGTATTGCTTCCTCACTACCAAGGTAGGGGAGCTTAATATTCGTGTGGGAAATTAAAATTGTTTTGAAAAATCACAAAAAGTATATAATTTTATAGTTATTTGCTATTACAATTTTGCATTCATTATAACTCTAGTTTCATTCCAGGAAAGTACATAATTTGAAAGGGTTCTAAGGGGCAAGTTTCTTGAAAATCGTTATTGCGTTTTAGGCGCTACAGTATATATATATATATATATATATATATATATATATATATATTATTTTCCCGCTATTTTGAAACAAAAGGTCTGTTGTTAATGTAGAGTTCCGATTTAAATAATAAACCAAAAGAAATGTTCCTAACTGAATCGAAAATTTCCAATTATACGTCCTACGCATCGGACATCTAGAAAAAAAGTTGTTTTTGTGTCCGTCTGTTGTCAAAACCAAGTAATGAGGATATCAACTATGTAACGTTAATCATATTTTGATGGAATTTTTAGGGATTGTGGAGGTTGTTACTGTATCAATGTCATTAAATCGAATTCACTATTTTGACTTTCTGGCGCGCAAATGTTTTACGAAACGTCAATTTATATAAAAAATAGTCTGTTTTTATTTCTTGATCTATTAGTCTTAAAGTTAAAAAGAAGTTAGGGATTAGTGGAAAAAAATTTCGGTTACGGATACGTAAAAGTATTTTCCTCTGTGATGTCTATATTTTAAAAATGGCATATTTAATTTGTCCCACAGTTAGAGGGAATTGAGGGAATGACGTACAATTGGAATCATGTATTAATGGTAATAATTTCATCATTTTTCATTTAACAATTTAAATAAATTTATCTGGTAGTAAACATATGACAACAGGAGGTTATATTATGAGTTAACTTGTATATATTTTATTTATATGTATATATAAATAAACTGGGTGTTCCGTTAATGTAAATGAATGAGTGAAAAAATAATTTTATTCTGGAACTACAGTACCCTAAGAATAATAACAGTGTTACAAATTTATGGGTCTTAGTCTAGCTTAGAATAATACAAAACACAGACTAATAACCTACTTATTAAACGAGGGAGCTTTTCTAAAAATGGGGTAAACGTAGCACAATTAAAAGGTGATAAAAAATAAATAAATGTCCCTTTTATTTATTTATTATTTTTATGATAATTTATAATGATTATTTATTTATTTTATGACTTTTTTAAACGGAACTTAGCTGTGTTTATATTCCTTCAATAATCCTCTTTAAATCCTTTTAACAATGACAAAATCTGCTTTCGTTTAAATTAAATTTTATCTAGTTTACTATGGAGCAATGTTTAATTACTAAAATCAAATATTTTCTATGTCATCGATGCCAATTCAACAAAAAATGTGACTCACTTAAAAAAACACAGATGGTAAATTTCATATTTTTCTGCTGGGATTTGGTTAATTGTTTATTTGTACTTTTTTTTTATATGTTGATGTCTACTATCAACCTTTTAAATATTTCTCTCTACTTACGGGACACCATGTATATTAAAAATAATTATTGTAGATTTTTCTTATTTTTTACTCACTGAAATGTATATAAAAATTCATAGAGAAAATAATTGATAAGTCCTAAATAAAAAGCCTAAAAAAAAAAATTGTATATTGCATTTTTATTTATAAAATTAATACATCGTCGATTTTGAAGCTGTATTCTGGAATGCGAAAAAGTATATACGATGACAGCCAATTTTCCATATTTAAATACAAAAGAGTTAGAAAAGAAGGTAAAAAATACGGTCAAGGTAAAATGTTGAACCCACGACTGAATGCTATTTATCTCGCTGCATTGTGACATAATTATGTCAGGCATTTATAATTCGTTTTTAAAAAGAGAGATTTTAACATCGTGTGAATTTTCAAACATTTCTCGGACGAATACAATAAATGCAAATTGATGTCAAGAACGAAACGATTCATATAATGGGCCTCTCTCTTCACAGTGTATAAGAAAATCTTGAAATGTAGTGACACTATTACGAAATCGTTACCTTCATGTGCGATATGACTTTTAATTTAAATATTTATAAGAATACATATATGTTTATATTAGGTATATATATAAATAAATTATTATGTCCATTTACATTTAAAGATTGAATATTTTAAAAAGTATAGTAAATAAATTATATACAGGGTGTTTTAGGGTTAAATGGCCAAACTGAAAATTTGAATTTAGGACCTCAAAACAAGAAAAAAAATTCCTCTGAAGGTATTTCCGCTAACGCTTTGTTTAGAAGATATTCACACCTAAAAATTTTCATTGTTATGAATTATTTACGTTATATTAAGTGTATAAAACTTTTTTATTTGTTCGAACTACTTTATTAATTAACCAGAAACATTAAATGTTGTTCAAAGTGATTTCTTTGAGCATTAAGACAGGCTCGGCATCTTGTGTTATTGTTTCACAAGATTCAGTAATCCATTATCTCAAAAGTTTGGTAATCTTCTATTCGGAAATAGCCTGGCATATTAACGGCTGCATTAGCATTACCATTGCAAAAACCGTATATAAACACCATGTCGGCATATTCACCATTAGTATAAATGGAAAGCATAATGATGAGTACTCTGCGAAAGCCTCTTACAAACTGATAAATGTTATTGAGAGTTCCCAATGCTAATTCCGAATAGTATTAATCCTTATGTTGCCAATAGTTTTTATACAGTTAGGGATAAAAGGCCATATTAGTATTATATCTAATCCATCTCCGAAACAAAGCATTTGCTGACATACCTTTACTTTGAACAACACTTAACTTGAATGTTAATGTTTACATTTAATTAATAAAGTTGTTAGAACAAATAAATAGGTTTTTTTATTTCATATAACGTAAATAATTCATAACAACGAAAATGTTTAGGTATAATTAAAATCTCTTAAACAAAGAGTTTGCGGACATACCTTCAGAGGATTTTTTTTCATGATTTGAGGTCCTTAGTTCATTTTTGAAGTTTGGTCACTTAATATCTGAAATTCCCTGTATATGAAGATTAAAATATGTTTAATTTATTTAGGCAATCCATTCCACGGCTGTCAGGGATATTGACTTAATAATCATGATGTAGGGGCTCTGATTCTAATTTGTTTTTTATATTTTCTACCGCAAAGGTTATATCCTTTGTTTTGGTTTTTGATTTTTGAATGTGTTACTGAAGTAACGCTAATTTTTTTTTAGCATATTACTAATGATTAAAAAAAATATATTTAGTCCAATAATTGTAATCACCTTTTATTTCTTTTTTTTTTTTTTTGTCCCTAGGAAAGTAATGTTTTTTTAGATGTGTAATTGTTTGGAAATAATTTGCAGTGTTTTATTTATACTTATTTTTTTCTGAAGTGACCACTTTTTTTTTGTTGATCGTTTTGAATCGTCTAACCCTGTCGAATATTGATCTGGGTTGTCGACTGAGGTTTATTTTCACCAAAGATTTACGTGATGGAGATAATGGTTGTTCTGCCTTGTACAGTATCACCTTTCAAAGGCTGAGTAAGCACAGTTCATTCAGCCTATCTTAGCCTTATTGTACAATTCATTTGAAACACTCTACTTAAAAAAAAAAATGTTATGTTGGTGTCTGAATTAAAGGAATGTTAACAGCTTAGTTTATATGCATTTTGTGGACTCAAAAAATCTAAAAACTAACTAAATTTAACAGATTTAACAAGGTCCTTTAAAAATCAGATTTTAATAATATTATTCCTAGCAAAAATGCCGATTTTCTCTTAAATGCTATCATTACATGTCTTGTTTGACTTCATTTAATATTTCCTCTAATATTGTCTCATTTTATATTTCACTGATATTAGATTTTGCATTAAATTAGAGGGATAGTTACAGGATTTTTTTCTTTCATTTCGTAACTGAAGGCATTTGAAATACACTATAGTTAAGATATTTATTAAAATATTTATTTATCCAAGACAATTTTATAAATAATTAATTAGGCTCGGATTATTATACAAATGCTTATTTGTCTTATCTTTTTTTTTTTTAAACATATCTATAGAACTGAAACTCTGTTCTAAGTGAAACTCCTAGCTGAACACACCTCCCTGAAGAAGACCTGCAAAGTTGGGTCGAAACATCGGCTTTCAATAAAATAGTTTTACACTATTTAGTCTATTTATGACCGCAACCCCGGACCATCTCCTTCCTTCATTTTTTAAATATATTTTCTCAGATAATTTGTTTTTGTCAGTTGTTCGTGATCTCGGTGAAATCATCTCCTTGGGCATCCGTTGAACAAGAAACAGTAATTTCCCTAAATAAGACTGAACCCTTTAGAAGTTGTAGTTGTTTAAGGTTTTTTTTTTTTTTTTATAATTTAAAAAAATTCTGAAAACAGTCGAATTATTTTTAATCGACGTATTTTTTGCCACAAAAACGTTGGTAAATTTACAATCGATCGTTTAAGAGAAATGTTTAGTAGTTCATTTTAAACCTAATTATAAGTGCAATTGATAAATAACATAACAAACTTAGAGAAGGGACCTTTTTTTTTTACTTATTTCAAAATTTTTAATTTTAGAATATCGAAACATGTCGTCAGTTTTTTTTTTTTTTTTTTTTTTTTTATTCCTTTGAAATTTTCAATTTAAAAAAAATGATGGTATCAGGAATTAACTGATGTTCGTTTATAGTTTAAAAAAAAATATATATTTAAATAAATCATTTTTTGGGGTTAGTTATTAATTTGTTGTAAAGTAAGTTTGTAAATAAGATTACGTTTGTAACAGTGACCAACATTTTTATGATGTGTTAAAGGTTTGTTAAGTTGACGAAATATTTCGTGTATGAGAACAGCGGCAAGGCCGTGTTAGCCAACCGTGGCCAGTTCCTTCTCTAATAACATCTAGGCATATAATGGCTGTCTTGAGAAATTCCTAATTAGGAAGTTTTTACGAAATCGTAATTGAAAAGAGGAAATTTAAAATTAGCGGTTCTTATTTTTAGTTAATGTTATTTCTACATATACATAAATCTATATATACATAAATATACATGGCGTCTCAGTTCTTAATGGCCAAACTCTGATTTATGTTTATATATTTTTTTATTTACATATAATCGATGATAATGTATTTGTAATAATATTTTAATATTTTACAGGCAGTGAAATTGGAGTCTGTACACCCAGGACGAACCCGCTACCTGGTGGTGGTGTCGAGGGTGGGCCGGCAGCGGACTGAGGAGAGCTGCCTCCTCGGCATCGACTGCAACCACAAGACCACCGTCGGCCTCGTCCTCAGGGTCCTAGCCGACACCTCCATCACGCTCGACGGCGATGGGTGAGTACGAGGAGGACAGTAGCAGTGCTAGTAGCAGTAGTTCTAGTGTGTATGATAGCAAGGAAGGAGTAACAGCAATAGATGATATAGAAGGAGTATTAGTAGAATGAGCGATACAGAAGGAGTAGAATTTATAATAAAGGATAGATCATAAAGAAGGAATAAGATAGGTGGTAGAGAAGAAGTAAGATTGGTGATACAAACGTAGTAGGATAGATGATATAGAAGGATTAGTAATAGTAATCTGTAAGGTAAGAAGGAGTAATAGGAATAGATGATTTAGAAGGAATAGTATTAGTAGTGTGTAAGATAGGAAGGCGATACCAGGGGTTATCGAAGGAGTAGAATGGGGGATACAGAAAGAATAGGATAGATGATACAGAAGTTAGATAGATGCTATAGGAATAATATGAGAAGGAATTTGTGGGGGGGGGGAGGGGATGCGGTCAAATAAATACTAAATTTAAAAAAAAAATAGTATTTTTAATTACGCCGTGAAAAAATACTATTTTTTTTTTTTAATTTATTACTTATTTGACCGCACCCTCCAACCATTTCTTTCTCATATTATATCACGGTCAACCATCTAAACATCATATAGAAATAATAGATAGATACTCGCCAACCTGATAGAAGATAATTTAGATAAAAATCATCACGAGTTCTCGTCCCGGCGCCAAATGGAAGGGGCCTTTTAACTCTAGCTCTAATCTCTCACCTTCACCCTCTGACCCAGGAAAACCCCGTATAGCCTAAAAACCGAGGAAGAGGAGGAAAGAAAAAAGTTAAGAAAGCAGTAGGATACATGATACAGAGGTAGTAGTATAGGTAGGAGTATGATAGGTGATAAAGAATTGAGGGGCGGGGTGGCAAACCTGATAACGGAAATTATAAATCATAAAATAATTCCGAGTTCGCGTCCTGGTGCCATGGGGGTCTTTTAGCTTGATATTAATCCTCCGCCCACACCCCCTAGCCCGGGAAAATCCCGCATAGCCTAAAACGCGAGGAAGGAGAGAATAAAAAAAATATGATAAAGAATGAGTAGAATTGATTATATAAAAGAAATTGTAGCCTGTTCCATGTTATTTCATTGACGGCTAATTTGTTTTGCTGAAAGGTATACCTTGCTCCTCTGACAGAGTGTCTTGTATGCAGGAGTCAGGATGTTGGATTTTTTATTTTTTATTCAAAATTACAATGTCATTTGATCACCAATTATTTTCATTTAAATTATAATTTTATAAGATGACGTAGATCCATTTTGGAAGTCTTATTTTTTCTTTAATTGATAATAACCATGTCAACATACTTCTACATATGTTTTAGCAAAGAACAAATATGGTATGACGTATTAAGTCATTATAAATGGACGTTAATGTATACCGAATTTTATTTTATTTTCTAAAATCAAAATTTTAAAGATGCTAAAATAAAATAGGTCTTATGGAATTTTGAAACAATTACATTATTTATTTTCAGCCTAATTTTTTGGCAAGTCCTTGATTTCCTCCTTCATTTACTGATTTTCTTTTAGGTTTCATATTTTACGCCCTAATATAGCAACAATTCTACGAAAGGAGTCATCCCTGAATCAATTCCTAAACCTCAAGACCCATTTATAAAAAAATGTAGGGAAAAAAACATTTCTTTTAATGGTCAATCGGAGAGGCATTACCATGTTTGGTCCGCCACCGTTCGCTACCTGCCTTAATATGGCCTCAATTGCTTTCACTGTGATAGCGAGAAATATCCTTTGCCGGGACATTACTGTGTATGTATCTATTTATTAGTTTATATGTATAATTAGTAATATATTATTCTTTTAATTAAATAATGTTAGGCATCCCGTTACTAAATTTACGCGTACTTTTTCCAAATGTAAACAATAAAAATTCGAATCAATTTAATATATTTTTCTATAGATTCTGTTTTTATTTTTGAAGTGAATACTTCTGATTAATTTTTTTTTTTAGTATTTTCAGCTCAATTATTTCAAAATATTCACGATAACTGACTCTGCAATATGAACCATTTAACTTTAAAATATGTCTAGCTGTTCGCTCAAAAAATCTTTACATTCATTTTAGCCGATTGATTGAAACACATTTCATGCAATCATTTGTTGGTTTTTTAGTCCGAATCGTTTTTAAAAAATCACGGAATTTCACTAGATAGTCAAGGCTATCTATGAAAATCGGTCCAACAGTCCACTTAAAAAATCGTTATATACCTTTTAGCGGCCAACCCAACATATAATCTTTCGTATGGCTTCGGTTAATAATCATTTTATTACCTTCAGACAAGGTGATAGTTCTGTAGACACTGAGATAGTTCTCCTTCCAAAACGTTTGCAAGGACTCACTCTGTTTTGGACACCTCGGTACAGTTTTCTTAATTGGATGTTTTTTCTGTTGTTTTTTTTTGGTAACTGCTCCATAACTTTAGAGTACTATTATATTAACCTTAAAATCTTTCTCAGTAAACTGTCTTTTGAAAGTAAAAACTCTTTAGCTTTACAAATTAATAAAATAAAATCAAATCATAATCTCAATATTTCTCTCTTGAGAATAAAAAGAAGAATGTGTAACTGAGCCGATTATAATTTTTTTTTTTCAAAATATTTCTACCGTAAAAAATTAATTTCATAAGACTAGTTGGATAAAATTGATTTGAAACGGTAAAATTATTAATTCGCCATTACGTTCCAAAAATGCACTGTAGCAAATGGTTTTATACTAGCACTTACTTAATGCTGTTTGTTAAGGTTAAAGAAAAAAAAAATGAATCGAATAAATAAAATGTTTTAAGTTCTAGTTACTTTCTAAAACCCCAAGAAACATAATGACATCCCAAAGAAAAAAATGATACAATAATTTCTTTGATATGCTATTATGTTAATAGGCACAAAGTAGTTTTTTTTAGGGATTGAATATTTGAAACTGAGAGAAAAAGATACATTATACCTTAACCCAGAATTTTGTTTATACTATAAAAACAAAAATTGTAAAAACATCCCAGACAATTCATTAGGAATTCTTGGGAGTAAGGACATTAGTCAGAGGAGATCCGCATGCATACTTATTAATCAATATATTTCTATTGAGGCATACCTAATATATCAACTTCTATGGTATACGATTCAATAAATCGATTAGTGATAAAAGTCTGCAGTGCAATCCTTATCCATTGTATCTCTTTTGTATTCATGAGCGGAAATAACACCAAGGCGTTGGCGTCGGACTTGGAGAACCTTAATTTAAAGATAATAATAAAATAAAAATCTATATTATTCTAAACTGATATGCTCAAGAAGAAATCCATGAAATCGTTTATAAACTCATCTTTAGAAACTATGAATGAAATTTAACGCGCTCCTTCATTCAGCGATTTATATTGATCTATATTTTAGATCACATCTTCATTATAGCCATAATTTTGTTATTTTCCAATTTATTTAACTTAAATACATTCACTTTAATACGTATATTTATTTCTATTTTGAAATTTAAAAACTCAATAGGCATGTAATTTCTGATTTTTTTTACCTTTTTATATTTTCATGTTTTGTTTTTTTTACCTTCTAGAAGTGTGTCAACCTTCCGCTGGATTTCATTAGGTCGTTTCCAAATTCAAATTGGCGCCTATCAATTCAATCGACTGATCGGCATTATTAGTAATTTTATGAACGATACTTACTTAAATACTAACTAGAAGTTTCTCGATGAGATTTCATATGGAAAAGAAAATAAAAGAAATAATTAAACTTGATTTCTCCTCTTTTAATCTTAATACTTTCTCCCAGTTTCAAAAGGTTAAAATACAATATAAACTACCTCGAAGCTATTATCGCGTAATTTCCCAGGTTACGACTTTTGAAAATGTTTTCAAGTCTGTTATTTTCTTTTAATCATTGTTTTATAGACTCTGCTTTTACTTTTGTGTTTTTTACTCTTTTATAATTTACTCTTAAGCTACGTTTTGACATTTTACAAACGATAGAAAACGCATACGTCTAAATTGGTCGTTTCTCTAGACTAGTGTTTTTTGTTTTGTACCTTTTTCCGTTTTGTTTGTGCTCTCGATTTTTTAAGAGAATTCAAAAGGGAGTAAGTGCTAATTTTGCTTGAAAGGTGTTAAATTCAATGGGTCCTGGTTGATTTAAATGTATTTCCTTCATCTTCTTTGACGAATTGTACGCCTTTTTCATTTTATTTTTCTTCGTTTGGTTTTTTTTTTCTGGACATAAAGGAATATCTAATCATCCTATCTTTATTCTGTTTCTTATTTTTATTTGTTTGTATTTTTTCTATTTTTTTTTACATTTCTAATTCCGGGTTTAAAATTTATTATCAAGTATATGAGTATGAAGTATATGATCATGTGCAAATTTATGTGGCAAAATAAAAGTATTTTTATAAAAAAAATTACAGAAACGTTCGCCTATCTGACGCCTGCATACTAACAGATTTTTAAGGTAATGACATATTGGTGATTCAATCGATGAATAAAGAGACGCACTTTATTTTCCTCAATCACACTCCTACTTCAGCAAGTCTCTTCATCGATGCTGGTCCATCGCATCCTCCCCTGACAGTTCTCTTCCAGCCATACTTTCCACCACTCTATCATTCCATCTAACTGGGAGTCTTCCTTTTCTTCTTCTACACTCTTATTATCCATAATTATAAGATAATCCATAATTATCTTTGGTATCCCATCGTCACCAACTCGTCTCACATGGTCGTAGCTATCGTCCGTCTCATTATTTTGTTTTTTATTTTTTTAAATTTTTATATTCCATTACTACAATGCTTTGCCTATAAAATTGGTTTTGCGTCCCTTTCTAATTTCATTTAGTGATTATTATGCTATTGTTTTAGCTCCAATATTGTAGTACTGAACCCCTATTACCAAACTGTTCTCGTTAATTTATCCTAAGAGCTATTATACTTAATTTATTACTAGTAGTTTGTTATTATTCATTGTAATAGGTCTTTTGGCCAAATTTATGGTTAATTTATATGAACAATACTGTTATTCTAAAGGGACCTAGTCCCAGAATAAAGATGATTTTTCTATTCTATTCTCAGTTTCTTCCATCAACTCAAGGATAATTTGTTTTATTTCTAGTCTTTCCCTTATAGTGGCGATTCTTATCCTTTCGACAATTATAGAGAATATAAGTTACTTACCCATGATTTGGCCATGATTAATCATTTATTCTGCTCAGGTGAGAAGGGGATATTTTGGATATTTTTATAAAGCAGCAAAAAGGTTAACAGATCTATTTACAGAAAGAAATATTTACAGAAAGAAATATTTACAGAACTAATACAATGTACAATAAAAGGAAATAATATACAAGGAAAAAGAGAGAATTTAACCATAATTACTGTATACAATTAAAGATAAATAGGAAGATAATTAAGATAATAAAAATAACAAAAAAATATACTTATTCTATATACAATAGTATGGCATGCCACATCTAAACATCTAGAAAAGATAGTCAAGATACAAGAGATATAAGATGTAAGAGCACATGTACATGCTAAAATATAATTAGTAATCTGTCACAGGAAACAAAAGAGTGAAGAGTTTTTGTTTTTTTTTCACTGCTTCCTTAGTCTTGGTTACAAAATGCATTACATTTGGTAAGTAGAGAATTATCCGTTACAGCTCACTTACTGTATAAGAGGATAGTCACTAAATATATTTTATAGTGAAGAAAGTACTGCCCTAAAGCAATTTTTAATTTAAATTTCCAAATTCATAACAATTTAAGGAAATTTTCGTTGTAGTATCGATCAGAAATAAATAAATTCTCGTATATTGTTCATGTTTAGACTAAGTGGTTCATACAGCTTAGGCCAAAACGTTGTTCTAAATTAAAGAATACATTTCATTATTGTGTGTTTCATTCTTGACTCTACTCTTTACTAATAATTCTATTTAATGTATAAGTTCTTGTACTGGTATGGTAATGGGAAACGTCGTCTAAACTAAATTACTAAATAAAATTGACTGCGATTAAAGGAATATAACATATTAAATTATTTATTTTATGTATTGCAACTAATTAACGATAAATAAATAAATAATTTGGATGTTGCGCCATAGTAGACAGTTCGGAGAGGGCATAGACACCACTCTGTTATAATCGACACTGGGATGTGATGACTACACTGCCCAAGAATGATAATGTTTCTTGGTTAGTGGGAGGAAAGAGGATATGTCCTCATTATATTTTTTTTTTGTTTAGGTCTAAATTATAGGATGCCTATTTTTCTTTCGGGTGGTAAGTAAAGTAAATGTTAATTGTTAGTTTAAAATAAAAATGATAGTAAATAATAATCGATAAATCTAGTTTCTGAAACCAATTCAGCCATAATTAGATATATTAATATGCCAAATATTAAATAAATATAAACAACATTTGCAGGACGATGACAGGATAATATTGCATAGCTCATCTTATAGTGAACATTTAAGTATTTTTCTTAATAATGATCAGATCCCGCCTCTCGGGAAAATATATGATCAAGATTTCCGTTAATAATAATAATATTGTGAAAATTACACCACAACTTAAATCCAAAATGTGCAACACTAAAGAAAACGAAACAATTCATCATATATTATTTAAACGCCCAATTTACAATAGTTTAAGGTTAAGAATTTACCAGGAAAATTATTTTTTTTTTTAATCTCAATTATATCACATTATAGAGAATTGGTGGGTAATCTGCAATATTGACCTCTGCATATTTAGCCAAAATATTTCCATATTGTACATCGGCATGTAATCTGGCCGAGTCTATTTTACCGGTTGTTCTCTTAGGTATAGGGGTAATCTTTTAATATAATTTTAAAACATGGTTTAATATTAATATTCCTCCTGGGCATCTGAAAAGAAGATGGTCTCGAGATCTCCTTATATAGACATATTATTAGAGTGCTACACGTGGGTAGTTTCTCAACAAGGGTTTTCATGTGATTATATTCCTGGTACACATTTACTTGATCTATTTATATTCTAATGATGTAGAGATGGTTGACCGTTGATATAATATGAGAAGGAGGTAGTCGAGGGTGCGGTCAAATAAATAAAAAAATTAAAATATATAAATTATTTTAATTTTTGCCGACGTTTCGACCCACTTTGCAGGTCGTCTTCAGGGCTACAAAAGATACAAACGTGTTGAAAAAATAAAAATAAAATAAAAAATAAATATAAGTATTATTTATTTTTATTTTTTCAACACGTTTGTATCTTTTGTAGCCCTGAAGACGACCTGCAAAGTGGGTCGAAACGTCGGCAAAAATTAAAATAATTTATATATTTTAATTTTTTTATTTATTTGACCGCACCCTCGACTACCTCCTTCTCATATTTATATTTTAGTACAGTTGTAAATATCTTAAATAAATAGTTCTAAAAAAAAATTAAATATTGTTATTTAAAAAAAAAATCAGTATTTATAATTTTATGTGTATTTATTTATGTATATTGTTGTTAGATTTTATATTAATTTGACAATATATAATCATATATCATATATATATTTATATAATCATTGACAATAACCCAGTGCCTTCAAAAAACTATATACCGTACCTCAAGTGCAAATTTCATAAAATGTTAAAATAAATAAAATATATTAATTTGATATATATTTTAACTTTGGAATTATTTTAATTGTCTGATTTTTACCGATTATGAATTTTTAATTATCCTGAAGATTGTTGTAATATCTGTAATGTAGCATAAAAAGGAATGAATTTGTATTTCCATAAGGGTAGTAATGTTTCTTATTTTGTGATAGACTCCATTTTTATAGGGTTCTTCTCTTAAAACAAATAAAGATTGAATTGAATTGAATTGAATAAACGATAAAATACTTTCAATCCCGAAAGAAATTACTTTTTATCATCAACCTTATTCATCAAACGATTTACTTCTCCATAATAAAATTAAGAATACTTTTCAATTGGACAGTCTTGCATTTTGAAATTTTCATGACTCAACTTCACTTCACACACCACACCCACTAGCGGATCCAGGATTTAATTTTGGGAGGGGCTTCAGCCCGAATAATAATAATAATAATAAGGCTTAGCGAACCCGAAGGTTCGATGCCGACACCACCAATCGCTTGTTACACACCTCCCTCCACCGTTCGCCGTCCAAACCCAGTCCCTTCAGATCGGCTTTAATGCAATCTTCCCACCTTCGCTTCGGTCTACCCCTCGGACGCTTACCATTCGGCACAGCAAATATTAACCTTTTAGGAATTCTCTCATTACTAAGCACAACAACTTTACTAGCCCATTTGATTCGCCGCGATGAAATTACCTCAATTATATTACCCGGATACAGCTCACGCAATTCGGCGTTGTGTAACCGTCTGAACTCTCCGGTTACCTCATCATTCTTCGGTCCGAATATTCTACGCAATACTTTATTTTCAAAAACCTTAAGACGCTGCTCATCCCTTAATGTAAGCGGCCAAGTTTCGCATCCATAAAGAACTGTAGGCAAGATAATTGTTTTATAGATTCTAATTTTTAAGTTTCGGAACAAGAGGCGCGAACTAAGTAGTTTTGTCACAGAAAAATAACAAGCATTCCCCGCCTTCAGTCTAACCTTAATCTCTTCTTCAATTTCGTTTTTTCTAGTTATTGTAGAACCTAGATACCTAAATTTATCTACCTGTTCAAACATATTACCATCTATATCGATATCACCCGTAGTATCGCCATTTTTGCAGCTAACCATATATTTTGTTTTATCCACGTTTATTTCGAGTCCTAGTTCTTTACCGGCTTTCATTAACGTTGTCGTATTTAGTTTTATAGTTTTATAGCTTCAGCCCGAAAGCTTTTTTTTTTTCATAAAAATAACGATAATTACTTTGGAAAAACAGAAACAAACTAACTACCTATATAAAATGGTGTTTAAGTGATTCCTTAAGTCCTTTTAAATATAATTACATGTACAATAATACTTCAAGAGGTATTTTAAAAAACAAAAATTCATAAAACATGGTTATATTTTACTATTTTGAAGGAGGCTTCAACCCGAACCCCCCCCCCTAGATTCGCCCGTGTACACACCCGTGCTACGATCCTGGAATTGCCCTCTGGTCAGTACCTTACTCCTTATCGTCAATAAAGCTTCGCCCTGTAACCTATAGGGCTCAGCACTTACTAGACTACTTACGACAAAACTTCATGAGCAATTTTTAAAATAAAAATTTAAATTATTTTTATCCATATTTTTTCACATTACATCGTTCAGAAGACTTTTCTCTCAAATCTTTCAATTCTTCTTTCTAGGACGTTTGTTAGTGTTCAGGTCTAGCGGTCTTTTATCAAAACTAGATCAATCATAATTTTTCAGAATTTGAGATTTTAAGAAAATTTTTCTGAATTTCAGTACCTGAATCTGAAAAAAAAAATTAATTTTCTAATATTTGGTCATTTATTGAGCAATTTGATTACTCCAATAAAAATTCTTACGCCATTATCATAGGAAAAATGTTTATTACGCATATTATATATTTCTTTATTGAGATTTATTACAATCTGTCGCATTCAAGGACAATAGTAATAGTGATAAAGAGTAGCTCATTCATACTATGCACAATTAATAAAAATATAAACAGAAATAAAATAATACTAAACTCGCTTCGGTGGTACATACACTAAAATTATATATTAATTTAAACTTTAAAATATAGAACAAACGTTGTGGATGGTTTTTCTCATCCAAGCTCCACACCTAGCATTGTGTCACATTCACTTCCAGAGAGCTACCATTATTCCAGCCAGGGCAGTTACCCAGTGACATCATAGGACGCCACTCCTGCGTGACTGGTTGAATGGATGGCCGCAGAGCGATACCCCGTTCATCGGCTGACAAAGGACATCCACCACCCACCATCCGTCAGAACCTCGAGGTAGCTCTCCAGAGGTAGCTATCTGGTTAGCGGACTGCCTCGCCTTTCTTGGGCAACTGGGACAGTCCTCGATGTACTCCCCCACTGCTCCACTTAACCAGTTTGGTTCGCTAATATCTTTCCTCTTCCTTAATGTAGAGGTGTCGACTCCATTACGCCCAACATCTGTCCTATCAGATGTAATTCATTATTTATCATCAGCTTATAGGTTTTGAAAATCATCAGAATAAATATAGAAATTGGTCGACTGTTAATTCAGAAGTTCGTCTACGAATTATGGAGTGCGTGCGCATTTCAGGCATCAATAGACTAGAAATAGAAATAGAAAATTACTTTATTCTGCGACAAAGTCCCTTTAGAATAACAAAATAGAACATAATTAAAAGACTACATCTGGCCATAATAAAACAATAATAAAAAAAGAGAACGTAAAGAAAATATTATTTAAATAAGCTATATACAAAAAAAAAATCTATGTACAAAACACTTAAAACTATGTACAGTAGGAAAAATTATAATTATACTCTTTTGAAAATAAAATAATAAAAAATACATTGAGTTATTCTTTAAAATGAGGTGTGTTTCTGCTAACAAAGCTGGCAGTATAACATTTCAGTGTATTTAAATAATGAATAATATGTAGACTCATCATTGTCTAATTCCAGCTATAGGTACTAACTTTAGATGCATTCAGTGGCATTAAGAGCAGGAAGATATTGTAATATCCCTAGTGTAGTTCACAGTATAGAATAGTACTATCGTTTGATGATGAATAGAAATGTATAATATTATAAGTTTAGCAAGTATCTGACTGTTTTTGGGATAGGAATTGGAATAGGAGGGTTTCGAATGTGGATATGGATGGGGAATGCCGAATTTTGATAGGTAGGGAATTCCAGAAATTGACAGCGCGAGCTATAAAGGAGTTTTGAAATGAGGCATATCTGTGAGAAGGTCAGAAGGTCGAGATCTTGTTGAAAGGGAGTGGAGTAAGGACTTGAAAAAGGACGATGGTTGTTTATGATTTGATAAAGGAACGTAACTAGAAAATATTGTCTTCGGAAGGAGGGGAAGAGCCACCTTAACTCAGTGTAGTGGTGAGAGACATGGGCGTACCTAGGGGCACCAATAACAAATCTTACGCAGCTATTCATTAGTCTTTGCAGTCTATCTAGCTCCACCGAGGGGCCATCATACACCACACAGCTGTAGTCAAAGTGGGGGAAGATGAGAGAGGAAATTAGGAGTCTACGGGTATGTTGAGGTAGGAGATGGCGGAAGCGATGAAATAATTTAAGGGAAGAAATTGTCCGACGGGGAATGTGAGAAATATGGTTGTTCCAGGAGAGGGTTTGATCTATGAAAAATCCTAAATTTTTAACAGAGGAGTAGAAGGAAATTGGCTGGTCATTCAGGTGTAATATGGGAAAGTCGGCATGGGATCTAATAAGGGGCTTGGAATCAATGGCAATGGCCTGGGTTTTGGCAGCATTTAACTTTAATTCATTTACATTTGTCCATGACTAGTGTAATTCCTTGTATATCTGTATTCAATGTAACGGACTTATCGCCTAATTCTTTAAATTTAAGTTAGTCAAAATTATGTAGGTGTGGTGGTGCTCAGATGATCCTATATAACTTTATGAAATATCATAACCTACTTTCGCTTAGGCATGCGCAAGCACATTTTTCTTATCACGCATACATTTTCGAAAACGGCTTATTTTTACATGCTCTACATTTTACTTATTAATTAACTTTTACATAGAAAAAAAAGTTTGATTGAAAAAAGAAGTATAGCTCTCCCATCATTTCTAATCGCACATTATTATCTGTATTTCGTGGTATAAGATTTAACTTATGAGATTATAAAATTTATATATACGCATACTTAAGCAAAAGCATTGGATGGAATTAAATAAAATTGATATAATAGCATCTAGTTACTCGCACAATCAAATCTAATAAAGAATTGTACATGATATGCCAGTTACATGGTTTTGACATACAAACACCGAGTAAAATTTATTCCTTCTTTATTGATTTCTGAGGCCAAGGTATGTTTCTTTTTTTTTTTTTTTTTTTTATGTGAATACAGAGCAAAAATTAAAATTAAGAGAAAGAAATTATTTTAATTCCGATACCATCTATAATATTTGAAAAAGAATTTTTGTCATTCACTGCTAAAATGCCTCTCCTCGTCATTCTATTTGGACGTGTCTACCCATTCAAAACTGGGGAAGCATTTTAAATTGGCACCCATTGAAGGGGGGTTCTAAATGCGTAAAGATTGCTTAATTCTAGTATTATTTGTTCCAAGCCAAGATGAAATGAAATTGCGCATCTTCCAGGTGCCAAAAATGTCTGTCCGTTTTTTGTCGATGTATTGCACCTGCTGACGAAATTCAAAATCCACTTTTTATTCATAAGGACTCCAAATATCAAAGAAATAGCTGATCCTCCGCGGATTATCACCATTGACTACTTTGTAGTGCATTTTATCGGCTTCATTTTGAATCATGATAGGTCTCATTAGGTTCAATAATTCAAGAAACATATTTTTTAGGAACAGACTTTCCAATAACATAATTTATAACAGTATTATTACTAATTTCTTCGTTCAAATGAGCCATGAAATTTAGACTCAGCCCTAGGATAAGTTCTAAATACAAATAAACAGACAAATTATGATTAACCATATTCGGATAAATTAGACTTACATAATGTACATAAAAACATACTATTTTAAACATTTATTTATCAGTTTTTATTTAAGTATATAATGTGTAATATTAATTTTTTTTTCTAGGGGTTTCTCTGTCAGTTCTTATGGGCACCATCATATCTTCAAGCCTGTTTCGGTGCAAGCTATGTGGTAAGTACAGTTTTCATTTTTATTTTATGTTTAAATTAAATATCAATTTAAATTGTGAATGCTTTATGCTAAATATTGATTTGTTATTGTTGTATTTTCCCCGGAAATATCATTGGAAGAGGGTTGGTCAGCTAAAATTATGTGACGTATATATTTTAATTTAAATTAATTGACCTTTTGGCATTATATATATATATATATATATATATATATATATATATATATATATATATATATATTTATATAAATTTGACTTTAACTATTAAGGCTGATATTTTTATAAATATTTGTAAATGTACAAATTGTTTCGTTTTATACTTTGGTAGGCACTTTGAACTTTTATGGATATCCTTAATATTTATTAATGGTTTCCTGGAAGTTCCTTATGTAATATTGGTATTCTTCCGTATCCTTATATTTTTGCAGGAATTGCGTAAAAGATGTCTTGTCATCTCCTTGACAATTAGCGTCCGTCGAGTTTCGGCCATGACATTCATTTGAGAGAGCAATTAAGTTTGCCTTTCTTCTGCTGTCACTTTACCTTTTTTATAACGCCATATGTTTTCTTATATTTTTTTTTAATTTTATTTATTTTGCCTTATAAAGTCCTGACGTATTGTTATTATTATACAGCATCGTTGCTTATTATATCCATTTTACGATTCATCAATATCAAAGATATTTTTGAGAGGAGATAAACAAATTTAATTTCATCTCCTGTTTTTTGTTTTAGCATTAAATAACAAGTTTGGTTTCGTGTATTTCTGCCTTTTCGTAAATCCACGTGACGAGTTCGTCTGATTTTTTCCAATGTTGGAAGAAATTATGGAAATAGTTATAAAATGATTCAGAATATTTTATTTATTTATTTTTTTTTTTATGTTCTACCGCTGATTAGTTTCTCTTCATGTTGTACATGTCATGTTACCAATGTCACATTTACTTGTTGTATGTTCTATGTAATACAGTTGTAAATTTCATTGAAACAAGAAAAAAAAAGAATATTTTTTTATTTATTTCCATAAAGCACTTTCGCTCACGCATGTTGCGCGGGGGAGTTTTTCTTGACTCGCCCACATTTCATGAACTCTCATCTTCCAAATGTATATATTTTGCAAGTTCAATATGAAAGAAGAGGCATAACTTGAAATCAGCAGCCAGACTTTGGCTTCATAGAATAATATTTTTCAGGGGTTGAAACATTTATAGAACTTTTTTTAAGCAGTTTCATTTTAATAGTTTCTACGAATTTTTTTAAGAAAATAGTCTTTAAAATAATTGTTCTGACTCTTTTTCCTAAAATGTTTAAAAAAAAAACTATTAAAATGAAACAGTTTCAACCCCTGAAAAATATGATTGTATAAAGCCAAAGTCTGGCATACATTTCAATTTATGCCTGTTCATATTGAAATATGAAGTTATGCCTGGAGTTCATGAAAAATACACGCGCGAACCATGCGTAAGTGAAAATAGTTGGAATAATTAATGGAATAGTTAGCATGATGAAAATAAATAAACAAATTACGCTGAATCGTTTTATCATTTTTTTCTAATTTTCTTCTAACATTAGGAAAAATCAGACGAACTTCTCACATGGATTTGACAATATACAGAAAAGAAATACGCGAAACCAAAACTTGATATTCATTGTATAAAAGAAAAACACGAGTTGAAATTAAATTTGTTAAAAATATCTGATATTGATGAAGTAAAAAATGGCTACATTGAACAACGATACTATATAATAACAATATGTCAGGACTTTAAATGGAAAAAAAAAATAATATATAAGAAAACAAATGGCGTTATATATAGTTATATAGAATAAACTTTAACAAACTTCCCAGGTTCATGGTAAAAGTTTAAGTTGCATTTATTCAAGTTAAAAATTTCTGTCGTTTGTTTGAGAAGCCGAGAATAAAAGTGATTTTTTAAATCGACTTTTTAGTGAAATCGGTAGCTCTGAAGAGACAGAAGTTTTATTTTTATTAAACTTTTAAATAAAAGTTAAATTAAAATAAAAGTTTCGTTAAACCTTTACTTGAAAAGTTATATAGGAAAAGGTTCTAGTTCCTAAACAACTGAAAACTATTGGCAATAAAAATTCCAGTGGTATCGTAAGTTTAAAAAAAAAAAAATTTTCCCCATTTGAAGCCCTGTCATTTTTCGTAGTTGTTTAAACAGAACCTTTTTTTTCTCCCTTATTCGCAAGGGAACAAATATTTTCATGTGGTCTCTGGTGTTCAGAAATTACTCATGCGTTATTTGAAGCTGTCGTTTTGTCGAATATTAACAGACTTATCGAATATTAAATGATCCTCGAGCGCTATTTGGTATCCTTTTTATTCTTTTATGCCAGGTGGCTATTTAAAAATATGATATTTAGCAAATTACTCTCAGACACGTAGTCACTTCAATATTTATTTCATGTTTTTTTTTCTCTCTTAGAAAGCTCATTTCACAGTTGAAGTGGAATTTATAAAACAAGATATATTTTGTCATCATTAACCATCGCCCGCGTGACTTCGGTGGAGGTCTCAATGCGACCTGTGGGCCAAAACGTTCGGAGATCCCCCTGCTTTTACAGATATTTAAGCGAAGACTTCGTAAACCCCTTCCTCTAACCCAGGGCTATAGCGGTAATCCTAACTGACCAATATAGAAGCAGTTAATGGATTCGAACCGCCTGTTAGTCAACGGTGTAGAGCTGTTAGCCAATCCTTCAGCCTTTACCAAACAAACTAGATCTAACAATAGCCTTTACACTGTAGCTATTTCGGGCTATTTATTTATCAACGGGAATGTTCAGCAACGATCGAATATAATCCATTAAAGGATAAAAAAAAACATTTTCATAATATAATATTTTGTGAATGAAGAGAAGAATAGTTGGGGTGTTCAGTCAAAAAGGAAGGCAAAAATAAATTATAATATTTATTTTTTACATATGCCGACGTTTCGATCTGAAGTTCAGGCCTTCATCAGGGCTAAGAAAATAACCAGATAACAAGGTATGAGAAACATAAGTAATGATGGTAAAAAAGATAATAAAAAAATAAAATAAAAAAAATATTAGAAAAATAAAATAGATAAATATAAAGTAAAATGAAATTGTTAGAATAATGACTAAGAACTAAGAGATAAATAATAAAAACTGTTTCATAGTGTGGAATGATGAAGTAGGCATAATCAAAAAGGGGTGACAAAAGTGTTACAATGGGAATCTTAGAATAAATTGTAAAACATAAAAAAGAAATATAAAGTTATATAAGAAATGAAAATAAATAGTAAAATTAAAACATTGAGAATGGAGTAGTTAGATAGAAAATTGAGATATTGTAAAGTCTATCAAGATGTACAGACAATGTATAATATAATAAAGAGTTAAAAACAGAGAAAAGGAATGAAAGGAAGGAGAGAAGAAATTGAGAAAGCTGAAATAAGAAAGAAATAAAAGAAGTATCTGTTATCTGGTTATCTGGTATCTTGTTATAAGTATCTTGTTATCTGGTTATTTTCTTAGCCCTGATGAAGGCCTGAACTTCAGATCGAAACGTCGGCATATGTAAAAAATAAAGATTATAATTTATTTTTGCCTTCCTTTTTGACTGAACACCCCAACTATTCTTCTCTTCATTATCCATGACAGTCAACCAATTACCAATTATTATAATATTTTGTATACGAATAAACATGTTTATTTATATTATATATCGGTTGCATTAGAGAGAAGATTAGACAATTAGTCTGATAGTTTTCGCTGAGGGTAATAAACAAATAAATAATTTAATTGAGAAATAAAAACCGACGAATTCTTTGATTAATCAGAACAACTAACGGAATTTTTTTTTTTTTTTTTGTGTTTTTTGACGTCGTCAGTTTGTATTGGATAGAGTTCAATTTGACTATGACCTCAGCCGTGAGCGCAGGGATGTCAATATTTTGTCTAACAAAGATAAAGGGAACAATGACATCGTGTCTTTTGTCATGTCTATGTAAATCCTCTTCGCCTTTACCTAATTTCACTTAACTGACTGACTTCATCAGTAGTCGATGGGTTTCTCTCATTCTGCAAGACCCTGGTTTACTAGCCTCGAAAATCTGTGTTTTCATTTACCAGTACCCAATACCTCTCTGTACAGGACTTACGTATTTTTAGGTTAACTTATATTTTCACTTACTCATAATTTTCAAATGAAATTTTCACGCGAAATGTTGAGCATTTACTAATATACTAGATAGATTGGGTAGAAGATGCTATGATGTATCTTGACCAGCGAATCCCCTTTAACAAAAGGACCCAGAAGGAAATATTAATTGCATAGAAAAATTATTGTTCCTTAGAATTTATTTGAAGGAATTATATTACTGATTATATACAGTCAAAAAATTAAATAGAAAGTGACGCAAACATATGAATTTTAACAGATTCCGATCGGTGAAAAAAAAAAAATGGAAATTGATTGGTAATGAAAATGTTATACCGTTTATAAGTTTACTTCCACTCCTATATGAAAATACCTATTTGTACTCTAAGTTGGCTGGTTATGGCACCGCACCATATAAGTTTAATTTCTCGGTAAATATAATTATTATCTTTCCTTCCTCGAAGAAAAAAAAATACCACCTATGAAGTAATATTTCGTAAAACAATCAATGTATCTATATGTCGCCATTTTGAAGAGATGTGACTTAACCCAGATGACCGGCCAGATCACTTCCACATCCTGCTATATATAACACGCACTCCTACACTCGCTTTCACATATTTAACAAAACAGAGCGAACTCTCTCACATCGGCCGGTAGAGTTCGTTTTGTCCAGCTCAGCGGAAACACTCCGTTTTGTCAGTAACTTTTCGCCCTCACATGTCATAAGTTGCGTAACCTCTACAACCCGTCCACTTTCTCCCGTTGAATTACTGCTGCCACGTCCGACAAAAAGCTGAGTGGCATTTGCTATCTCATTGCTATCTGTATTGCTATATAATGTACCTTGAGCCAGCTAAATGTTATTAAGATTAATGAGAGTAATAATGTTAAAACAATTTGTAAACAAAAGGTTTAATTCCGCTTGCCTAATATATATATATATATATATATATATATATATATATATATATATATATATATATATATATATATATATATAGGACGTTTTCGTTGAAAGTCGTCTAATTCCAACTTATATAATATAGAAATATTTAAGGATTTGTATTTTAATGATTTGAAAAATATTGGTATAGTTATATAATAGACTGTATAAAAAAAATGACCGTTTTTCAACCATATATTTTGATTATTATTTCTTCGGTATAAAATATAATTAATACTCAAAGTCCATTCTTTTTGGTGGTTTCAAAGAACTCTTGGACCGCTATTTCAATTTTCGCAAATTTTTTTTTTTTTCCTTGAAGATAATGGGCCATTATGGCCAGGGATTTAAATAAGTAGTAATCCGATGGTGCGAGGTCTGGACTATATGGTGGATGAGGCAGGAGTCTCATATCAGAAGGGTTTTCCAATACATTTTCACAAATTTCTAACCTCTCAGCTGATTGCTGAGGAGGAAGTTCGTGAGGGACCAGTCTACTGCTCTTTTTCACACTCCCTGGCAACTTTGCGAGAACTCGTGGACGGATTTTACTCAACAGCTTCCTGCAGAACCTCATCAATATCCATTAATGGTAGCTCGTATCCCTTCTTCCTTTCAAACATCGTATCTCCACTGCTAAATTTTTCAAATCAACGCCGCGCAGTGCACTGGTCAAGGACACCTTCCGCTTCATATTTAATAATTTCACGAGTTGCTTTTACGGCTGTGAATTTTTTTTCCAATAATGCCTTAAAATTACGAGGATTTCGAAGGCATGTTCTGTCATATTTCTTCTTTGAAACAAATAAATAAATTGAGGCTTTTTTTGTAAAATCGAATGGAATTAAATAAGTTTACTGAAGTATTTGTAAGTATTAAAATATTTACGGTTCTTCGAAATCTTGAATTTGATAAAACGGTCATTTTTTAAATATTATATAAATAGACTAAAGTAAAACATATCTGTACTTTTTTCTGCTCTATTTCTCAAACAATTTTCTTCTTTTGTTTAGCAGCTATTGGCGAGCTTTAGTGTGATCAATAGAAACATTTTGGAAACAGTTTATATAAATAAAATTGTAAATGTATGTTTGTTCAAAACCGCTAATTTCCGAAAGTTCTTCACAGATTGCTTTGAAAATTTGATACGACTTTGCAATCAACTTAAAGATTGTTTTTTGCCTTTCGTTTCGAACGTGTGTAGACTATAGTATGGTATAGACTATCGCGCCAAAACAGTTGTAACGATTTTAATAGAACTTGGCTAAAGTCTTTTCTCTTAAATGCCCTTTAATTTTATTTGTATAATATACTTCCTAGAAAAAAATCTTTAAAAAAATTTGAATTCAGAATTTTATTTCCGAATAACTCAAAAATTATACATTTTTTGGTTCATTGAACATATGAATATTTGAAAGTTTCCTGAATGCTCTACTATTTTTATCTACGAAAATTCTCAGAAAAGGGATATTTTCTCATTTAATTAATTAATTTAATTGTGCATTAAAAACTTATGAATACCAAATTGTTTTTTATATTATTCGTAAAATTATTTAGTTACAAAATCTGAGGGGGAGGGGAAATGACCTAAAAAAATAATTTTTGGCCTACATTACCTCGTTATTTTGACATATTGGGAGTAGAGGTCACATCGAACGACCCAATATTTTTTAGGCCACCTGTTTTCTAAATTTTATGAACAACTTCTCTTACAATTCAAGTAGAAAGCAAATGAGTGTTCATGAGTTGTTAGGAGGTTATTAAATTGATAAAATTTTACCGATTTCCAGGTTGGAAAAACTCTATTTCCTAGAATTTTTGTAAATAAAAAAAATTTAGTACAAAATGTTCTTAATTTTGGTAGTAGGAGGAAATAAAGTAGTCATTACTGATTTCTCGAAGTAAACTATGCGGTTACTGTTATTAAGCATTCGTTATACTTATCGAACAAAAGAATCATCGATTTATTTTCTAATTGCTGGAATGTAGGAAACAAAAGATAGCTAGCTGGTAGGTTAGGAGTGCGAGTACACAAGATGATGATATATGATGTTTTTCGAAGTTAGAGGGAAGATATCGATGCTTTGGTAAGATCGATATTTATGCCGTGGGCCCGATGGTGGCCTACAGAGGGTCGTGGACCCCAGGTCGAACTGCAGAGCCAGTCGCCGAGGGATATCGATTAGCGGCTCCCGGCTCTAGTGCCTTACTCCGCGGCGGAACTCCCACCAGGATGGTCTTCGGGAGACGGCGCTTCAAGAAGTGGAAGAAGAGGTACGGGGTAGAAGAAGAAGAGAAGACGTAGCCATTTTCTTGCACAGCAATATTGAAATCAACTCACATATAGTATTTTTATAATCGATTTTCACTACACATAAAACTCACTCATTCACAATCGATTAGTCGATTTTATATCGCACAAGTATTACAAGCATTCACAAAGTTACAAACTCACGCATTGGTCATAACTAGGCCTGGGCAAAAATTATTTTTATTATTTAAGAGGTGGGTATACAGTTGACTGTTAAAATTATAAGGATAGTGTACAGAATGCAGTCAAAAATGTCTTTATTCAGTTGGCCGACGTTTCGATGCAAACTTCTGGGTCGTTAATAGGGCTAAAAATTAAAATTTAATTTTTAGCCCTAATGATGATCCACATGTTTGCGCGAAACTAAATTTTACAAAAAAAAAAAATTTACTGCCCATCCTGACTATTTTTCATCCTTATTTTAATTATTACTGGTTGATCTGTTTGCATAATTCGGATAGTGTATTAGTCTTTGAACAAATTACAAAATAGAATTGTAATAACTTAATGCAATGTATTATGAGATGGAGGAATAATTTTTTTTGTCTCGGTCAAATTGCAATAGTTAACATGTGTATAAATTACTATAGGCTGTAACTTCTGTTATAATGTTTTTTTTTTTGGGGGGGGGGAGGGAGTTTTTGTTGAAAATTTATAAAGCTTTTAAATAATCTAGTGTGTAATTAATTATACTTGTTGAATTATGCACAAATCATAAATAAATTATGAAGAATCGAGGAAGAATGGTTTTAACAGAAAAAATAAATAAATTGAAAAATAGTATACAGTTATTATTTGGTGATGGTTGACCATGTATTCTAATTTTAGAAGAAGTTAATCGGAGGTGTGGTCAACAAATATTATATTTATTACATTCTCCAATGTTTCGACCTACTTTGTAGGTCTTCTTCAGGGCATTATGAGATATAAAAATTATTAGTATATTTTAATAATTCATTATCTTTACAAATTGAACTGAATTTCTCTAGTCATAGGAGAAATCCCAGATTCTCAAATTTTTTCACTGCATACCAATTCCACTTTTGAGTTAACTTGAGATAGGCGTACAACAGTACATCTTAAATCTGAATTAAATGATGGTCTTTACAAAAAAAAAAATACAAAGTTACTGAAAATGGTTTGACGAACAAAGGAATATTTATTTCTCAGTAAATTTGCGTAAGAAAATAATTAATAGAAAAGAAAGTTCAATAAGCTTTAAAAAAAATCAGTACGTAAGTAAATTGACGTAATCGGTCCAATCATAAGATAATTTGAAGACAAAATCGAGGCAAAAGGATGGTCAGTAAAAATATTAGGCCGTTTGTCTTGTCATCCTTCCTCAACTAGTCAAAATAACGAGGTCGTATAGTCCAAACGTCCCAATATTTATGTAGATCACATTTTTTCTCGGCTTTGTGATCAAATTATCTTACGTTTCAAGTGGAAAACAAATGGCTATTCAAGAGTTTTTAATACCTCATTGAATTAACAACATTTAACGATCAAGATAGAAAACTTCTCATTTCCGAGATATTTCGACTATAAAAAAATTGCAGGTTACGATAAAATTAAGTTATCAAAGAAGTTTTAGATGGGTGATAATAATGAATCTGTACCGCTGTCTATACATAACGATTTCCCATAATCTGATATAGATAAGGCAAAATAAAATGGTCTATTGGAAAAATAATCTTCACTTAAATCGACTCCGATATGCTTATAAGTTTGTCCTTGCGCTTTCATTGATTATTTTTTTAACTGAAAAAGATATTTACGGAAAACAATGCTAGATTAATTGACTACTGTCCTTCAGTTGTTAGAAGGTCCTAAAACGTTCCTCAATGAATGATCTATGTAACGTAATAATAATTTTTTAAAACGGGCAAGTAGTTCATGAAATTAGCGCATTTTTAGAAACGTTGGATAATGTTATAAATATACTATTATATAATATTGTAGTTTTTGTCCGCACTCTTGACAATCTTGATAGAATAGATAGAAAAATAACTTTATTCTGGGACACAGTCCCTTGAGAATAACAAAATAGAACAAAATTAAAATATTACATCTGGCCAAAATAAAATCAATCGAAAAAAGAAATAATGTAAAAAAAATATAAGGTAAAAATTCTATATACAAAACAAACTAAACTATATACAAAACCATTAATACTATGACAAGACACTTAAAGCTATTTGCTCTTATAGACCAGTATACATTTTTCCGAAAAAAATAAAGAATTAAAAAATAAAAATGTATCAAATTCTCTATTAAAATCCGCTCGAATGGTTAGCAAGTATCTGACTGTTTTTGTGATAGGAATTGGAATAGGAGGGATTTGAATGTGGATATGGAAGGGGAATGTCGAATTTTGATAGGGAGGGAATTCCAGAAATTGACAGAGCGAACAATAAAGGAATTTTGGAATGAGGCAGATCTGTGAGAAGGCATGTAAAGGTCAGAAGGT